CACCACCTCTTATCTGACAAGTCTTCGAAAAACCCGAAGACTCGAGATGAACTAATCAATTCTCTTTCCGGCTCAGACTGCATAGGGTAAAATTTATTTCCGAAGACTCGGAACAGGTGAACTACTTGACTAATTCCAGTACAGAACCTATAGGATGTTGCGCATGCGCGACTGAACGAATCACTCCCCGAGACGACTCGTTCTTCCCGAGTCACATTAAAGATTCGTTCAAAACGAACGACTCGTTCAAGAACGACCCAACACTAACATATATTCAAAGTAAAACTTACGACAGAAAGTCTGGTTTTACTTTTTAAATCACCAGTATTTCAGACACTGACCACATTAAGTGATTTTACATTAACAAAACAACGAAACAATGGCGCACTGAATATAAACTCTTAGAATATTTAATAAAAATATGATACATTAAATTGTTATTGTGTCTCACTGTACTTTCATGTGATGCAAAGGCACCCAGTGCAGATTCACAAGCTGCTCCTTTAACAGCAAAATAATGACAGGAATGGAGGGAAAACGTCATGTATTCAAACCATTGCCAGTCCGCATGCGAGAGAGGCTCATAAACAGCAACAATACATCAGTGTTCATAAACTACGGATACAGAAATCAACAGCTAGAATGAATGAATAGTGTATTAAATACAAATGTTCTGCCAAACCACAGAGTCAAGTAAGTTAACTATTAAACGTGACTTTTTTGCGCACGAGTGGAAAGAGTCACTTGCACTTTCGTGCACATACAAGACAATGAAACCGAAAGGTCCGATGTAGATGATCATTTTAACATTAAAAAAAAATAAAAAACGAATGCAGAGTTCGTGAGGTAAAACAGACGAGCTGTGTTAGAGAACAATAAATGCGCGCCGTGCCCAAGTTTCCTGTCGATTAATTCAAGTCAAATACCAAAAAACAACGCTAAACAGTTGTACTATTTACATAAATAAAGAGTTGAACTTGTTTCTACAAAGTATTATATTACATGCGGATAGAGCTAGTGACCGTTAATAGCAATACATTATGTTTACTTCGTAAAAGCTGAGTTGCGGGCGGACTGAGCGCTGATCTAGTTCTGTACCGTTAACTACGCAGTCACAATAAAGGCATTCTCATACAAAAACAAACATGCAAAGTGAATTGATTAAGATTTCTTACCTTCAGTCGATCTTAATATCCTAAAAATCTAAAGCGTATCCACAGAACTTCATAAAATAAAGAATATTGTTTTAAAACACTGGCCCCCGCTCTGAATTCGTTCCTCCCTCTGTGACCGCTCAACCTACCAGCGTCCTTGAGGGCGGGAAGCTCTCTGATTGGCTGGGATGTCCCGTTTTTAAATTTTTAAATTTTCTGATTGGACGGCGGTGGGGGTTTACGTGAGCGTTGATTGGAGGCGAGGCATTTGAGCTCGAGGGGATCGGGTTTTTACAAAATGGAGTTCTTTCCTGGCGAGAGAGTTGATCTGAGGAAAGAGAAGCTAGACAGCCGATGTCACACAGTGTGCTTGTAAACGCGAAAAGTTTCTTGAAAAGGGCAATTATAAAGTTGGTTAGTAATGGATCGAGCCATAGAGAGTCAACATGACTCTTGTGTGTGTTTTTTAGAAGTGTCTACTGGAGGGTAATGCTTTTAAAAGACATAACTCATCACTAAAACGAAACGTTTGTTGGATTTTTTCTGGATTCATTTTTACAGACTGATTACTGTTCAGAAATATACTCTTAACTGCCTATTTCTGACTTGAAATATTGATTTAAGGTATTTCTACATGAAACTTTTTATTTTAAAATACTTAATGTAAATGTGGCAAACTGTCCCTTAGAAAGCAAAACAGCCAAATGCATACATAGAGTTTAGAATGAAAGTTGACACCACAGGAATTGGTATTAAAAATGGGAAATTCTATTGTATAGACCAAATCTACATTTACATTTCAATCGTGTGAACTTACACATTAAACTACATTGTAGGGGCAAGTACAGTGTTAAAGTTCAAATAGATTAGATTTCTGTGGTATCATTTACATAAATTGTATAGATTATATATTATAATTAGCCTTATGTTTAATAGCAATCCTATTTCTAAAATAATTTATATAATTGCTACATTTTTACAATATAAAAGTGCATCATTTACAATCAAATAATAATTTACAAAAGTTCAACATTTGCAATCTTAACCAATCAAAGTCGTTCATCACAAACCAGCTTTTCTTTGGGTATGCTGAAGAATAGGTGCGCAGCAGATGTAGTCTTACTCAGTTTCCGTTTTTGCAAAGTTGCATTGCTGCATTTGACCTCTGCTGAACTCTAGCAATGCCTTTACATGCTTAATCCTGGAGGTGTCAAGAACGGTGCACCTTGATGCTTGAACTGCTCATACTGTAGTAGCGGCGTGCTTTCCGACCCAGTAGGATTGTTTAAGAAGAGTACTGCGTTCAGTAGCTGTTTGTGTAATGCTCATTTTTAGTTTCAGTGTTACTTCAGTCCTGCCTTCCTGTTTGCCACAGCTGAACCGTACAGCAGCAAACAGAAAAGTGGCAGCATTTGCTACTGAGAAGGAGTGATGTCATGCTGAACAAGCTGTAAATTAGCAGATTCCAAAGTCAAATACTCAGGACCGAGTAGATATTAATATAAATGCATTAATACAGTGATTAGAACCATTCAGAATGTGTTGCTTTAAAAGAAAAACACTGAGGTAATCATACGTGAATTGTCAAGTATTCAGTTTGAAGTCATTTCGACATTAAAATTCCGAAATAAATGCAAAACAGCGATGTATTGCAACTTTTATTTAATTTGCTCAAACAAAACAATGTTAGCATGTAAGAAACTTCTAAACAGTATGGTACAACATGAACGATAGAACAGAAAGATAAGGAAACTGAAAATTGCATTACAAGGACATTCAGCTGAATCTAACCAGCACGGTCTGCTCATAATCGAGTCTCAGTGTGCCGACAACAGCGCCAACATTTTGCTTGTTCAACTGATTTCCACGAGGACAAAGATCAGTTTCTCAGATCCAACCAGCATACGTGGTCTTGACCATAACACAAACCACACTGTAATGCAACAGAAAAATGACACAGAGGAGAATGTGAATGGATGTTTGATTTTAAACAAAGATTGTAAAGGCGTCCTTTACAACTCACTGAAGCAAAATGCAAAACAAATGAATAAAGTTATGGCAGGCCCTAAATTAATACTCTATATATACGCATTTAAATGTTTGACATATCAAATGCAATTTCCGAACAAGGCACAAACCATGAAGATCACAAACAGGTTTATCCAGGAATGAATCAACCCTGATCAAAACATTTTACCTGCTTAACCAAAAGACCAATCAACAATAGTTATTTATTGTCAGAACATAGGTGGATCAGGAGATTGTGACGTTCTATAGATTACCGTTTAGCTTTGGTGATAGTGCCGATCACAAAATGACGACTGTCTCGTCAGCAATAGAATCATTTGAACTTCTACGGGTTTTTAAAGTGCAATCAATGCTGTAAACACTCTATACAAACTTTCCGATTCCTTGAGAGATTATTTTGAGTGATGATTTTAAAGTGAAAAGGATTGATGAGTGAGCATAGCAGGGGGGAAATGGATAACAGAGGAAAAATCTGTTCAGAGAGAACGTCACAAGTTCATGTTCTCAGTTATTCTCCTCAAAATTCAAAAAAAAGCATACTTAAAAAGCATACTTCCCAATAAAGTTCCCTAACAAAAGTGTGTTGGAAGATAAAGCCCCTCGGAAAAAAAAGAGCCGAGTGCATTCCAGTGTGCAGGAAAAGGGATTAAACAATAAATTGATTGGGGAAAGAAATAAATTAAAAAATCCCAAAACCATTCAAAAAGCTGTTATGTGTTGCTTGGCCCTCATCAGATATTCCAGACTTTTTTTTTTAGGTGGTAAATACACCATGCAAAATGAATAAGTAGCCATACATGATCTTTCACATCTTTGAATCCCAAAATAAAGTAAAATGAGTAAAATGTCAAACCCCTGCAAATTTATTATGGCTATAAAGAGGTGTCCGTTGCGAACTGCGTATGGAGAACATCATTCATCCACAGTTTGAGGGCAGAGTGGATGATTAAATAAAAAAGAGAGAGAGAAATATGCGTAACAAATGCTACACTTATTGCTTATGAACGGAAAATAAAATTATTTTTCGTGGCAACCATTTCCCCCTTACCAATCTTAAGACGACATGCACTGAAATCGAAAGAAATACGAAAAGAGCCTACGGTGAATAAAAAGTTCATAGTATTTCTGGTTAGCACTATCTACAGATACGGTCTGAGCTGACGTCAACCTCAACTTCGATTGGCTGAGAGGATTTTGGTAGAGAGCTACAATGATGTACAGTAGAAAGGCATTGTCCTTCGTGATCTTTCTGAACACTTAGCAAACACACAAGACAAAGTTATACAGATAACAGTGGCTCATTAGAGACAGCCTGTCGATCATTCACTTTTGAAAAGAGAATAATAATGAAAACCGTCCAAAAGAGCAAGTAAGCTACCTGATGTGGACATTAGAACAGGTTGACTGAATGACTTGCAGGTATAATGTTTATTTTGTTGTCATTTTAATGTACATATTCTGGTTAAAATAGTAGGAAGACAAGCTTTAGAGTCCTGCAGCAATAGACCATACTCATTTGGTTGGCCAGATTCAAGGTTTTGCTCTATACAAGGCCAACTTAATATGTTACTTCACCGCCACCACTACCACCTTTTAAATTCATAAACAAAGCCTGCCCTTTGCTAAACAATGTGCAGTAAAATGAATGTCATCTGCTTGTTTTACAATTTCACTCTTCGATGGTTAATACAGTATGTAATTCAGTAATAGTTTGTCTTTTTTCGTCATTTTCTTTCCACAGTAAGAGTCATCCATTGCATACTGACAGTCACTTCCTTAAGACTATGTCCTGACCCCCTTCAAGACGGGGCTTTTGGTGTACGGCGTCGCTTTGAGGCGTCTGGTTATCCTCTCGATGTTACGCCTCTTGTGCCCCCACGCTCAAAACTTGTGTCTGTCCCGGCATCATACTCAACAGATCCAGAATTATCATGGTTATTATCACCACTGGTTAAAACTGCAATTTTCCATTTTCATTGCTTTTGAGATAGTGTCTTAAACTGAAGCTGACCTCTGAAGTGACAGACTGTGGATAAAAATTACAGGTGCATCTCATCCTCCTATGCAGAGTTTGACTTGCCCAACTCCTCCCTGATTGCTGAAAACACAAAAACGACAGAAGAATTAGAAACACTCCACGTCAGATTGATAGATTAGTTCCAGTTAAAGGTTTAGACACATACTCATTCATTATTACCGTTTTAAATATTTTAGAATAATAGTGAAGTCATTAAAACTATGAAAGAACACAAAAAGATGATATGGGAATCATGCAGTGACCAAAAACAAATAAATCTTATATTTTAAATGATTAAACATTAGGCACCCTTTGTATGCTGGACACTTGTCACGTGTTATTACCCATTCCAACTCATTTATTTGTAATTAAAAGTTTGCAGAGACACTTTTATTTGTATAAAATAAATACAAATGGAAAGCATGTACAGTAAAAATCAATGCATAATAAATAATAATATTTATAATAAATAATGTATTATTATTAGCCACCCCTTTGGAAATTAGGGAGTTATTTTTCAAATATTAAGTTATTTTTCATTATCAACATCATCAAGAATTTAAGCATAAGCCTTTAGATCAAAATTGTTTTTAGGATAATAAGAAACAAATTCAGTCAAAGGTGTCCAAACCTTTGACTGTTAAGTGTCAAGTATTTTCATATTTCTATTGTATTAAAAAGCTAAATGTGCATCATACTGTATATAGTGCCAAGATAATGCAATAATATGTTACCATCAAGAAGTTCTTCTTTCAGCTTCGCTAGTTCCTTCCTCATCTCCTCTAGAATGTCCTAAAAAGCAAAGCAATACATTTGCAATTAGATTAGAATATTATTTATAATACTCCACAAATCAAAAGGAGTCAAGCAAATTATAAGAGCATGTCACTGAACTGTTTTCATGTCGGTAAGATTCCATATTAGATAAGAATATATACACTAGACAAGAGAAATTAGCTACCATGATACTGTGGCAAGAAAAAAAAACTATGCTGTGAGTTCTTAATATAAGCTGTTATATTAAATGCACTTGGCCCTGACCGTTTAAGCGACAAGATCACCAGGTAAGTAGATGTATGTAATAACATCAACACTCAGTCACAATTACTGCTGCTATAAGTAACTCTTCACCACTAAAAACATTCTCTGGGCAAACCAGACAGAGCTGAGTGACTTGAGTAACTGTGTTCTTAGATAAGTAAGACTCTTACATATGCCTTTCATATCTAACATGCTCATTCATACAGAAGGGAGGTATTGCCTTTGTAGAGAGGTCTATAATTGCACACACCCACAAAAGCATAACTGTGCACTGTCAACCAGTATTTCTCCCTCTGGTTTTTTTAGGAAGTGCTGTAATACCACGCACCATTTTCAAATGAGGAAAAATTAGTAATTGTGCCACTAGCTTTGGTAACACTTTGCCAACATATTGAGGAAGTGTACGGCCCCTCTATCAAACCCTGAAGGGCTAAAAGTTTAAATGAGTTTCAGTTCTTCTCAAATTTTGAGAAGTACCTGTTTCAATCTGTCATAGTCAAGAGCTTCTGTTGGCACCCCATTGGCACTTATGGATCCGGTAGGAGTTGGTGTAGACCTTGGTCTAATGAGAAAAGAAATAGAGTGAAGCAAAGCTATTTTAGTAACACTGTTCAGTCAAGATGCAAGGCAGAAGTTTAGTGACACACTTTAACAGTCATTTCAGATGCTGTGTAAATCTACACTGTTCAATCACAATGGGTGATTCAAAGAATATACACAGCATCAACATGGGATAATTTCAAGATGTGGGAGGAAAATGCTGGGTATTTCAGATTTCAGGTACTTGAAACCCTTGTACTGCAAAGGAAATACACACATCCAGATATACATACAGTGGGTACGGAAACTATTCAGACCCCCTTAAATTTTTCACTCTTTGTTATATTGCAGCCATTTTACTAGACAAGAGAAATTAGCTACCATGATACTGTGGCAAGAAAAAAAAACTATGCTATGAGTTCTTAATATAAGCTGTTATATTAAATGCACTTGGCCCTGACCGTTTAAGCGACAAGATCACCAGGTAAGTAGATGTATGTAATAACATCAACACTCAATCACAATTACTGCTGCTATAAGTAACTCTTCACCACTAAAAACATTGAATGCTGAAGAGTGGGTTGCCTTGTGCAGAAAGGAAGTAGAAGTCAAGCGGATGAGAACATTATGACACAGCTTACAGTCAGAAACAAATGACAGAGCAAAAGTTATGTGTGAGGTACAAGCGTGTCCTGCCTGAAGTCTTTGTATCAAAGCTTTCTGCATTTAGAGTGAGAGAATAACTGCCTTGTTATTTGGCAGAATAAACTAAATTAAAAGCACATTTGTAGGGGGAGGGGGAAAGTGTGTTATCTCTGGAGCCAGGTGGACGAATTGGCAAGTGTGGACAAATACTCCAGCTTTCTGATACTGTATGATATTTGACGGCATCTAGTACTGCAGAATTCATCAGGACACTCTAATAATCATACTACGGTCAATCCTTCATAGCTTCATTCTATTTCTCAATAAAAAGAAAAATTAAAATTGATGCTTCCCCTTAACTACGGACACTTTATGTGATTGGGGGTGATTGTTACTAAAATAAACAGATTTCCTTCCTTCTCTCTCTTTTTTTTTCACAATTACTGCTGCTATAAGTAACTCTTCACCACTAAAAACATTCTCTGGGCAAACCAGACAGAGCTGAGTGACTTGAGTAACTGTGTTCTTAGATAAGTAAGACTCTTACATATGCCTTTCATATCTAACATGCTCATTCATACAGAAGGGAGGTATTGCCTTTGTAGAGAGGTCTATAATTGCACACACCCACAAAAGCATAACTGTGCACTGTCAACCAGTATTTCTCCCTCGGGTTTTTTTAGGAAGTGCTGTAATACCAAGCACGATTTTCAAATGAGGAAAAATGAGTAATTGTGCCACTAGCTTTGGTAACACTTTGCCAACATATTGAGGAAGTGTACGGCCCCTCTATCAAACCCTGAAGGGCTAAAAGTTTAAATGAGTTTCAGTTCTTCCCAAATTTTGAGAAGTACCTGTTTCAATCTGTCATAGTCAAGAGCTTCTGTTGGCACCCCATTGGCACTTATGGATCCGGTAGGAGTTGGTGTAGACCTTGGTCTAATGAGAAAAGAAATAGAGTGAAGCAAAGCTATTTTAGTAACACTGTTCAGTCAAGATGCAAGGCAGAAGTTTAGTGACACGCTTTAACAGTCATTTCAGATGCTGTGTAAATCTACACTGTTCAATCACAATGGGTGATTCAAAGAATATACACAGCATCAACATGGGATAATTTCAAGATGTGGGAGGAAAATGCTGGGTATTTCAGATTTCAGGTACTTGAAACCCTTGTACTGCAAAGGAAATACACACATCCAGATATACATATATGCATAACTGGGTGACATGAAAATGAGCACCATGAGAATTGTATTTCCTTGAGAGGAGCTGCATATTCATCAAAACCAACACATTTGCAGTCAGCCCCGAATAGAAAACATTTCAAAGCACAGCAAACCAAAAAACACAGCTTGAGACACAATCCACACTTCAAAACACACAATGCAGCTGCCGTATCACTCTCATGCTTGTCTGAAGCTGATTCAGACAGGATACTATTGCCAACACAATAATCACCATAGGGTGGGACATGGGAAGTGAGGGAAATGACGCTTTATCTCTCCCATTGGGAAAGAAATTAATGCTGAAGAGTGGGTTGCCTTGTGCAGAAAGGAAGTAGAAGTCAAGCGGATGAGAACATTATGACACAGCTTAGTCAGAAACAAATGACAGAGCAAAAGTTATGTGTGAGGTACAAGCGTGTCCTGCCTGAAGTCTTTGTATCAAAGCTTTCTGCATTTAGAGTGAGAGAATAACTGCCTTGTTATTTGGCAGAATAAACTAAATTAAAAGCACATTTGTAGGGGGAGGGGGAAAGTGTGTTATCTCTGGAGCCAGGTGGACGAATTGGCAAGTGTGGACAAATACTCCAGCTTTCTGATACTGTATGATATTTGACGGCATCTAGTACTGCAGAATTCATCAGGACACTCTAATAATCATACTACGGTCAATCCTTCATAGCTTCATTCTATTTCTCAATAAAAACTGGGTGACATGAAAATGAGCACCATGAGAATTGTATTTCCTTGAGAGGAGCTGCATATTCATCAAAACCAACACATTTGCAGTCAGCCCCGAATAGAAAACATTTCAAAGCACAGCAAACCAAAAAACACAGCTTGAGACACAATCCACACTTCAAAACACACAATGCAGCTGCCGTATCACTCTCATGCTTGTCTGAAGCTGATTCAGACAGGATACTATTGCCAACACAATAATCACCATAGGGTGGGACATGGGAAGTGAGGGAAATGACGCTTTATCTCTCCCATTGGGAAAGAAATGAATGCTGAAGAGTGGGTTGCCTTGTGCAGAAAGGAAGTAGAAGTCAAGCGGATGAGAACATTATGACACAGCTTACAGTCAGAAACAAATGACAGAGCAAAAGTTATGTGTGAGGTACAAGCGTGTCCTGCCTGAAGTCTTTGTATCAAAGCTTTCTGCATTTAGAGTGAGAGAATAACTGCCTTGTTATTTGGCAGAATAAACTAAATTAAAAGCACATTTGTAGGGGGAGGGGGAAAGTGTGTTATCTCTGGAGCCAGGTGGACGAATTGGCAAGTGTGGACAAATACTCCAGCTTTCTGATACTGTATGATATTTGACGGCATCTAGTACTGCAGAATTCATCAGGACACTCTAATAATCATACTACGGTCAATCCTTCATAGCTTCATTCTATTTCTCAATAAAAAGAAAAATTAAAATTGATGCTTCCCCTTAACTACGGACACTTTATGTGATTGGGGGTGATTGTTACTAAAATAAACAGATTTCCTTCCTTCTCTCTCTTTTTTTTTGAAATGCATTACCATGCCTTAATGTAATACTTTTCAAATGCCTTTTATGTATAGATTTTGTTTTACTCTTATCCAAGACCCAGACTTTCACTTTTTAATTATGATAATCCATCATGCATTATTACATTTTAAGAACTATGATAATCTATATGAGTGAAATAATTATAAATTATTTTCAACATTTATATTGTGTGGAAACCATTTATATAGACCACCATTCAAAAGCTGGGGTCAGCAAGATTTTTTAAATGTTTTTGAAAGAAGTGTCCTATGCTCACCAAGGCTGCATTTATTTGATCAAAAATACAGTAAAACTGTAATATTGTGAAACATTATTAGAATTTAAAATAGCGTTGTTGTTTTTTTTATTCAGACATAATTTGTAATTTATAGCTGAATTTGCACCATCCATTACTCCAGTCTTCAGTGTCACGTGAACCTTCAGATATCATTCAAACACACTGATTTGGTGTTCAAGAAACATTACTCATTATCAGTGTTAAAAACAAATGTGCTGTTTAATATTTTTGTAGAAAATGTGATATATTTTTAAGGATTCATTGATGAATAGAAAGTTCAAAATAACAGCATTTAAAAAAAGAAAGAAAAGAAAAAAGTCTTTACTGTAACTTTATTTAAAAGCAGCCTTGCTGAATAAAAGTATTAATTTAAAAAAAAAAAAAAAAACTTTTGAACGGTATTGTATATATTTACACAAATGACCATTGTCCCTCAGATCTGCCACCATTTACATTTTTTCAAAAAGTCCACAGAATCAAAGGTTTTCAAAGTTGAGGAAATACCCAAATATTAAATATGCATCTTTATTATAAAAGTTGCAACAGTTTTGAAAAGCATAAAGTATTTTATTTATGCCATTTCATGGTGATTATACTGCTGGCAACAGCAGAATCTTTGTTTATGGAAAAAAAATATATAAGAATAACCATAGACAATCATTGCACCAAACTTCATCCTATTTAGAGAGCACTCTCAGCAAACAAATTCTAGAAAGAGTTCTCAAACTAGCCTCTTATACCTGTTTAAGGAATCATAGTACTTGTCAGTACCCATCTGATTTCTCCATGGTGTGTCCCGTCTGTGAGAGTAAAGAGACTAACCAGGTCAGAGGTCAACAGCGTAGATCTGAACTATGTATATTCATAGTAATCTTCTGAATGCACTGGTTCCAACTCAGGTGAAAGGAGAAATACTTCTATTTAAGTGTAGCCCTACTGAAAACTGCTTCAACCATTTGTATAATTGTATTTGCAAATGCATGAAAGAATGTCATATACTAAAGCAAAAAGAATAAACAAATCCTTCAAAAAATGCTGAACAGCTCTGGTACACAGATCTGATGAGAAGCAACAGCACTGTGCTTTAGTGATGTCAAGCACGGGACCCGACTGCCTGCATTCTGACATGCGATTGTGAGGGGCCCCAGGCCGCAAGCATGTGATGCAAAGCAGTCAAAGCATCAATAATTCAAATTTGCTTTAAGAAAAGCGGGACTGGTTGAAGACTCAGATCCCAAAAGCTGGACATTTCCTTCAAAAGGCGTTATAAATTGGTGGAGGTATAATTCACACATTGATTCAACTCATCAAAACAATAACAAGCAAATTATTACCTTCCAATGACTGGTGATTTGCTACCATTCATGGTGTTTGTCCTCTCCCAAGGCTTTCTGGGCATATCTGTGAACAAAATGCAATGAATGTTAAATTTTATGATACTTGCAGTCTCTTATTTCACATAAAAGATATGGTTATGCATCAAGGCCCAGACTGTACACTGGACAACAAAATTGTGACCCATTGCAAGTAAAAAACAAACAAACATGGAATTTATTTAATAAAAATAAAGACTACATGAACTCTACAGGCTCAACAACAAGCTAAATTATTAAAATTACATTTATTGAACAGGAAAAGAGGAGTTGCCAAATGTTGCATTAGTATTAGCCTCATAACCAGTGACAGATGAATCTGCACCAAAATACCAGACTTTCACTGAACAACAAAAAAAAAGTATGGGAAATGTTTTCACCTCCCTTTTAAATGTTACCTCATTCATTTGACTAACCCAATGATTCTCATGGAGCATTATTATAAGGTTAGCTGCATTTTATCTTTTGTTTTTAGCATAGTTTCCCCCCGCTTACCTGGTGTGCTACAGGCTGACACTTTTGGAGTTATGGTAGCCTCAATGTCATCCTGTTAGAAAAATAAAAAGATAATCAATTTGAAAACCAGTCACATAAAGGGTTTGATCATATAAATAAAATGAAGTAGTCTATATGTACAGATTTAGTCATACACCGTATTCAGCAGAATGAAACATTAACTCACAGCTTTCTGCTCAGGCTCTGGCGATGATCCCTTCTCAGCAATTCTTCTCCTGTATCAAATCAATGGTAGAATCTTAAATTTCATTTCATTACTGGATATTACAGACCTGCCAACCTTGGAACAATTTTTTGAGTACCATCAGCGTGACGGGACGGGACACGAGGTTTGGGGGGATTCATAAATTCCTAGATAGCTACATTATTACCTGAAGCTTAGTCCTTGATGACTAATGTCAAAATCGTTATTACACAATGTGCAAAATGCAAGATTTAATGTTCAATATTTTCCAAAAGTTAGCAGGTCTGCATAGTATGCAACAATATAGTTAGCCCACGGATCAATCCATATGCCTCTGTTTTTAGTTCAGTTCAGTTCTGATGGCTTGGCACATCAGAGTATTTTATTGCGATTTGCAATTTAAAATGCTATTTAGAAAAAAAAAACTCCAGTACACTTTGATTAAAACTCCAGTACACTTCTGTACACTGAAGAAAAACAAGGATTATCATATCTACAAATTTCTTTTGAGAGAAGTATTATTTTTATGGATTGGCCTATAAACGCATGTAATGTCCGTTTCATTCATGCTGCTAGCCATAGGGGCCCTTGTGCTGAAAATCCACATATGCATCACAGAAGTAATAGAGCTCGTGATGTTCCATCAAATCCCTAATATGGACAAAGACATCCAGCTATCGCTGTAGCCGAGTAAAACGTTTTGAATGATAAATCAAAGACAATAAACACGACTGCGACAATGTATAGTTTATCTGAGTTCTTTAAGCCATCTCAGGTATTTTCATTTGCTAATTGACATAGCCTTTTTTACAGTATAGAATATGTTTTCTGCCTCATTCTGTGATAAGAAGCCAGATGACAAAAGGAAGTTATTTCAAACACTCGACTGATGTTGTGGAGTAAAAACATGTTATAATGTTCTCTTTTGTTGGACAGCAGGTTTAGAAACGCTTCTCATTATAAGTCATTAAGGCATGTGTTGCTTTTTATAAGCGGGGAATCGTTTTCTCATCTCAGCGTGTAAAGTCACGGACAACTACACACAAACAGGGCCAGTTTGGAGAGAAATAAAAGACGGCGGGAGTGGAAGGGGGATCGAGCGGGATTTTGTGTTGCTGTCGATTTGCTGTCTCTTTTTAATGATAGCCCTTACGCATTTGTCAATCTTCCCTGCTTTCTATTTGGGGAATGAACCCAGCACTCCGATTGGCCAAATTCTACTTCTTTTGCTGTTGCTTGATTTGAGTACTGCTCGTGCACAGAGGCGTAACCAGGTTTTTGCGTAGTTTAGAGTGACAAATCATACCAGCGTACTTTGAGGTCAAAATGCGTACAGGTTGGCAGGTCTGATATTATACAACATTCTGATCATTAATCCTAAAAACAGAACTTTTTATTAGCACGTTCTGAGACTAATAATTGTTTGAAAACTAGGCACTCTATCACTGCAATCATTCTGGCAGTAGAGACAGATAAAGCACATAGTTCACCTCCTGGCCAGCAGGGCGCTCATCTCCTCCATCAGACCTCCTCCTCCAGGTAAAGGACCATTTCCACGGGATGCCTCAGGCTTGGCACCACCAGAACTCACAGCAGATCCTGCCAGGGGCTCATCACTCTACAGTAACACAAATTTACTTTTCTATTAAGGAACAATATTTGTCCTCTGGAATTTATTTACAGGGACAATTTTTTTCCTTCTGAGGGCAATTTTTATGATTACCTTATAAAATGTAAAATACTTAAATTTAAACAATCACCTCAAGCAATCAGAATACTAGGTTGTTACCAAAGCAATGTGATGCAACATGAGCAGATCTAAATTTAATGCTATTAATTAATTTTAACATTTCACTGTAATTGTGACAGCCATAATAGATTTCGTTTAATTGTGCATGGCCATTTTTTGCCCCTTATCTTGAGTTTGGGGTAGCATTTTTGTTCATTTTGGTGGCATTTTTGCTCCAAGCCCATGTTAACTTCTGACCCTGTGAATTGTGCTAACATGCTTCAGGTGAAATTTAATGCAAATGGGAGCTTTACAGTCCTTGAACCTTTACCCGTGGCACTTTCTTTAGCTTGGCTCCAGAAAGGGCGGCTGCGAGCCCAGACAGACCCTTGTTCTCCTCTGTGGTGGGCGAGGGGGTGAATAGACCCGAGGGCAAAGGCGGGGCCGGGGGTGGAGGTGGTGCTGGTGCTGGTGGAGGAGCCTGGCCTGAGGTTGGAGGCGGTGGGCCAGGGGGAGGGGGAGGGGGAGGGTGGGGGTGGAGGGGTTGGTATCCCCTGTACTGAATCTGCAGTGATAAATAGACAAAAGAACAAGACCATTATAACATGTCTTTATAACTTGCTGTACAGATCAGTTAAAACTGTGATATGTTCTACATCCAGGACTGTTTTAGTTTGTGAAATAGATCATCAACATCAGAATGAGGATGTTATAATATAATATAATATGGTATGGTATGGTATAGTATAGTATAGTATAATATAATAGCGTTCAAAAGTTCGGGGTCAGTAAGATACTGAATAGAAAGGCCAAAAGAACAGCATTTATTTGAAATAGAAATCTTCTGTAACATTACAAATTTCTTTACTGTCACCTTTGTCCATGCATCCTTGCTGAACAAAAATACTAATTTCTTTAAAAATAAAATCTTACTGACCCCACATTTTTTAACAGTAGTGTAATATAAACCCATCAATAATAATAATAATAAATAATAATAATTAAAATAATATAAACAAAAAATAAATAAATAAATAAATAACAACAACAAAGCTTATTCGTAATAGTGAACGAAGACGTATGACATTAATACATGATGTGAACATACTGAACACTTGTCAATAGCTGATGATCATTAAACCAACTTCCACATGGAAGAAACTGATGATTTATCTCAATATGAAACAAATCTGTATATCAATTTAACAAAATGCACAGATATAATTGGGGTAATGTTTCATACTATTTAATCATTAAAATGTAACTTCAAGCTGATATTGCATCACTTTGTATAAGGAGGTAAAAATCTTCACAATTCAGGAACGAATCCGCTTAACTATTTTTCACATTTGGCTGTTTTGGCTATAAACAGTTGAAGTTTTCAAGTCTATATGACATGCATGCCTGTCAAACACGCTCAAGTTAAGCATATTAGTGTGTAGAATTTAGCTCAGTGTCAAGCTGCATCATGCATATGAAGTGTGAAGTCTAAAACCTCTTCTATAAATAATTCAGAAGATCTTATTTCTTCATTGCTGATGACCTGACCTCACATGAAACGCTCCACTTACTGTATGCAGTATGGAACAAAACAAACAGTCAAGGATAAAACCGTAAACAATTTAAATTTCATTAATTTAATTTCTTTTTAAAATAAGGAAGTTTGATAAAACAAATGTATGAATGTGAAGAATAACCAAAGAGGATGTGGGGCAGCCAGTTATAGATCATGTAAAGCTTACTGTGCAATGACAGTTCACTTGTACATGTTAACATCTAGAACTTCTTTACCATAAACCAATAATCAGAATGAGATGGTTGTGATAAACTGCAGAAAAACACTGATGAGAACTAAAGCAATGATATCGCATCTTTGTAGACTCAAATCAAAGTTTCACGAGAGAGAGTGGAGATGCGTTTTCATGCCATGCCATTTTACACAATTACGGGCCACACAAATGAGCATCCATCAAACCAATGAACCCAAAAGACAAGACAAACAGCCAAACATTTCCTGAGGACTTTCATATTGAGCCAAAAAGCAATCGCCAATTGCAGCCAAAAAAGCAACCCAGCTCAACATGGCAGGCCCCCTCCTCAAACCCTGATTAGCGGGTTAGTGGAGGCTGAGCGACACAGAAGAGGCCTTACCCGGCTGGCTGGGGAAGTCAGCAGGCTGAGTGGGCAGCTCTGGAGCAGAAGAGCAGGAGTCTCCCAACCCAGAGTTTACAGAGTGCTCAGCAGAGGCAGGGAAGGCTGTGGAAGGAGAAGGGAGAACAGCAGGCTGGGGTGAGGGACAAGACACAAGAGGAGTGATGGGCAAGGTGGGTGAGGGGGAATACAGTGGCGGCGGAGGGGGTGGCATTGGGGGTGAAGAAAACGGCTGACTCGATACAGGTGATGAGGCGTGGAAGTGAAGCGAGGTGGGTGGCCCGTTGGGTGCCGAGATGGGCGAGGGGGGTTTCTGGGAGAGCGGACTAGGGGCCGGGATCACAATCATCGGGCGAGGACCCATGGCCTTGCCCGGGGGGCTGCTGATCATGACCGGAGGTGAGGGCGGTAGGGGTGTGAAGTTGTTAGCCATCCAGACTACGGATTTGGAGACTGGAGCTGGAGGAGGAGCTGGGGCAGGGGGCGGTGGTGGGGGCGGAGCAGGTTGTCTGCGAGGTATGGTGGCGTAATGAGGCAGGACCGGGTGGAAGGCAGAGCCAAGCGACGTGGCAAATCGGGAGGCCGAATGGCGCAGGGGTGGGGTTGGAGGAGTGGCTGTGGAGGGAGATGGTGTCGGTGGTGGGTAGCTGGGTGTTGAAGGAGACACGGATGAGGAGGAGGTGGTTTTGTTGTATTCGGGATGTGGAGGAGTGTAGAGGGTGCTTTCAAATGCTGCACACAACCAGAGGACAGGACAGGATGGGACAGGACGGGAAGAAGAAGCAACCGTGCAAAGGGAAAGAACACAAGACAAAGAGAGAAAGGGGAAGGAGACAGAAGAGAGAAAGGGGGCAAATGAAGCAAGAAAACCAGCAGAGACCTACAAGACCATCATATGTACTTATTTCGGTCTATGAACAGGAAACACACTGGAATTAGTACAATCGGTTAGCTGTTGACAACATCATGAACTGGAAAAGATTGATCAACTCCAATGCATGTGGGAAAAATGTTACACAAAGATCTAGTTTAGCATGTAGTACTTTCAGGAGAGAGCACTGAAGGGTTACTGTAAATCCTGGATGCATGTGTCACATGAGGTTAGTGTCTTAGCTTCGCACCTGCTAAAGGCTAGTCATCCACTCTCTGCATGCCAAGAATATGCTAATGAAAACCTGCACTTTTTGTGCTTTCCATAGCCAAATATTACATTAAAATCGGAATGATATATCAAATTTAACACAGTAATCACACATTTCCGCTGAAACAACATCATTGGTGAGTCATGAGCTGTGTAAAAACGTATATTATGCACAAAAGCATGTGCAAAACAGTCACACAAAAAAAGTGAAAACAAAAATATATTTAATATATTTTAAAATGTAATATTTTACCCTTAAAATGTCAAGCTTTTTAAACTACTTCAAACATTCAAGCTAGGCTTTCTTAAGCCAACATAAATTTGTCTATAAACTTTAGTAAAAGTAATTTATATCCGTGATGTCAAAGCTGAATTTTCAGCAGTCATTGCTCCAGTCTTGAGTGTCACATGATCCTTTAAAAATCATTCTAATATGATTGATTTGGTGCTCAAGAAACATTTCTTATTATTATCAATGTTGAAAACTGCATACTATTTTTCTGAAAACCTTTTTTTATTAATTATCTGATGAATAGAAGATCAAAAGAGCAGCATTTATTTGAAATTAGGGTTGCAAAGGGGTGGAAATTTTCGGAAAGGTTTCCTGTAATTTATCGGAAATTTTCCACTTCTTTGCAATCCTATTTGAAATATAATTTTTTTGTGAAATTATAAATGTCTTTACTGTCACAGATGTTACTGAAGGCCAGGCTTAGAGTGCAACACAATTTTATACAGTATATATGTAACGGGAGCCCTGTCTCTCTATTTACTAGTGCAAGGCAACATATTTAGGGCTGTTTATTTATTAAGTGCAAGTAAATTTTTGTTTTGGTTTATGATGAGATTGCACTGTAAGAGTCACTGCCTGCCATATGTTGGCCAAATCTTTCTGCTCTAGTGATTCTCATAAGCAGCCTGCAGACACAGCTGCCCTCCTGCTGCGTGAAGCCCACCACGCCCCCCTGAGCACTCTTCAAAATGCACGTCAACACACAGGCAAACACAAATTATCATGCCCTACATTCAGGTCATCTCCTTATTAACACTTTCCCATTATTCACGCTGGCTTCATGACTTAAGTACAGCTGATTTATCTTTATCCTTCATTTTAAATTATAATGTAACCTATCCGTACCTTGCTTTTTTCCATTTCACTTGCCGCCTCTGCCTTTCCACACTATTAGCTTCGACAAGCAAACCACATGACCCGTGATGTAGCGCAGTATGTTCACCAAGACTTAATGAAATTCTTCCCCTCCTAAAGCACAGGCGTTCACATGGCAAGACCTATCGGCTGTGCTCCAGAGAGACTAATCCAACTTTATTAAATCAACTAGGGATCCTCACATACTGTTTTTAATACTAATGAGTTTATTAATTTAGCATGAACATAACTGTACATACTACTCTGAAGTGAAAAAGTGAATGGTTAGAAAATAGTTTTGGCTATAATTGCCCATTTACACCAATACCAAGTACTTGTAATCACTTATCTCTAACTAGTGCTCCAACTAATGATATAGATTTTGTTGCACCCATTCAGCAAAATTTCAGGGTATTTATTGGATAAATCTTACCAAAAAGCAGAATTCTCCAAGACATGACTCAGAAAGGTCACTGAGCCAAGACAAGATCCACTAAAAATTGCCATACAGAAAGACTTCATTCCAGACAGAGAACTCAATCCGGTGTCAATTCAACACTCAGAATAAAACATTAAAAGCACCAGCCAGTCAATACTGCAGTGAGAAACACATCAAACGCAGACAAGCTGTTCAATGATTTGTCTAGAAAGAAAGCACTTAAAAAAAACGACACTGAAGCATTTGTGTCAGAAATTTGTGATCAGGAAACATTATTCTTGCCTTCCTTGAAAGCATTTGGAAGTATGTAAAAAGAATATCACTGTTCTAATCTAATACAAGGCAGAAAGACAGTCACAATTTACAATTCACTGCCAGTGAATAAAGCTTCAGTTTTCTGTAAAATGACGTCTCCTTCACAAATCTGATTGCCAGTGTGTTAATGTGTAACAGGACCAGTTGTGTTAGTAGTAATCTAGATTCAACACATCCCTGAGCAATTGACACTGTATTTAAAGGATTTATGCCTCGATACCATCGAGTATCGAAAAACGTCTTGTTGTTCTGTACCAAATTTCGATACCTAAGTGGTTAATCTCATCAGCGTCAGTGAGCCAATAAGCCTGCAGCACTAGCCAGTGTGTTCGACTAGAACAGGTGCGGCGCAGATCGATCAGTGTTTGACATTCGCGAGAGCGATTCGAAAGCGCACGGAGCAGTCTGCTCTCTTTAGCTCTCGTGGTACTGTAATACACCGATCAGTCTGCACAGTCAGTCCACCTCAAGTCGAACACACCTACTAGTTTACATCGGTTACACTCAGAGATGTGGCGCACACGTGAGGCTGTAGTGTGAATGCGTCCCAGCCCCCTTAGATGTTAAGGCTACATTTACACTGGTGCGTTTATGTTTTAAAATGAAAACCATTCATGCAAACTGTAGCATCATGCTACATCAGACAATAAATAAGATTTATATTCCGCTTTTACTCATAACTCACTTTAAACCACCATCGAGTGTTTGTAATAACTTCAGATTGCCGTCTAATGTGTGATTTGGCCATGTAATGTTGCTGAAGTTAAATATGTTATTACCTCTGATTTGAGTCAGAGCAGCGATCATGGAAGAGAGAGAACACAGGCAGACAGTGCTGGAAGCTGCTAATGCTCATCAGTGGAAAATAAATAGAAATCATGATTCTATCTGAGCTATGCGTTTTAAAACGAACACGCACTAGTGTAAATGTAGCCTAACAGATGTGTAAACTGAAGACTATTTGAGCTTTATTAAAACTATTTGCACTGATTTATTATGTTGGTTACATTTTGTTCCTTTGTGCAGTGGCTCAGGAGATGAGTCTTTGAGTATGTATAAACATCAACAAGCTGAAAAATAAAACCAAAGTTTTTTTTTTTTAGATACTGTAATCTTGTTAAAATTGATTTCATAAAATTGGTATCGAAAAAAAGTATCGTTCAGGAACCGGTATCGAAGTCAAGGTATTGGTATCGATATCGAAAATGTTTTAACGATACCCAGCCCTAATAATGCATCTTGCTATATGCAAACTATTGCATCACCTCTAAATAACATAGATTATTTGATACAATGACTACACATACACTATGCTAAACTGCTCAAATGTTTAACACTTGAAATGGCAATTCCGCCTATCAAAGCCTGAGGCCAGACCTCTCACACATTATCTGTGGAATAAACATCCCCTCCCCCACATTGAGAAGAAAAATGGCTATTTTTTTCACATGCTTCTGAGAAATGTATGCAATCTGATGTGATGAATATATATACAGACCCATATTTTATATACACACACACACACACACATATAAAGGCCCTTTAAAGTCAATAGTTAATCAAAATTGACCTTATTTAGTTTCTTACTGAAAGTTCCTGGTCTTATTGTGAACAATTCATCTGTGCATGTTATTCTAAAGCCCCCCATTTGTGTTGATGATTGCTAAAGATCCATAGCCTCTCTCTACTGTCACCTAAATTCTCGAGTTCTGGCAGGTTAACCCATAATCCTAGTGGGCTGTACACAGGACAGCATGAGGGAAATGTGGTTAGTGTGTGCAGCTCTCCTTGAGTTTCATCATCTTTCAAGCGGTTGATTCAGACTCTTCCAACATACTGACAGATGGACACGTCAGGAGAAGATCGCCTATTGATATATTAAGACACAATGGGTGCTGACCCTTCCTTCATATAAACAATAGCCTTACGTAGAACTAGAGGCCAAATACATACTAAAAATGTGTTTTACAGCAAGAACAACAAAAGAAAACGTCCAAACTAGAGATGCACAACATCGGATATCAGTGGAATTTATTCATTTAATTTTTATCCGTGATGTCTAGTATTGGATATTAACTTTTGGTCACTTGTTTCCGCCAATTTTTAGATGTTAAATAATGCTTAAATCTTAGAGGGACAAGTGTAGATTACAAAAGATTGAACCCTTCAAGAGCTGTTTCTTGAACACTGCTATCTTATAATAAAGAACTTACTTTTTTATTCAAACAAGCTTTTTTCTTTATCAGATCCCCAAAGGAATATTTATCCATATTTCATATTGTATATTATATTGTTGTTGTTTATTCACTCAAGTATCACAACACTGATTTTTAACATTGACAAGAACAGCACTGATTTTTTGGTTTTTTTTGTGAATGTGGCGAGTTATTTTAAATACATACATTAAATATGTACAAAATAGTACAGATTTTTAAACTGTTGTTTATTAGTTATTAGCCATGGCACGGAAATCAGCTAGAATTGTAATATCAGTGCATCCCCAGTTCGAATGCATAGTTAACTTTAAGGAAAAAAATTGTTTTAAATGAAATTTCAAGGGTATAATAACTGCAACACTGTAAGATGATTTCTAATTGATACTAACAGCATTTCACAGGCATTTGCATGCTAAGCATTGTGTACAACAGAAGAAAAGCCACTTGTATTGTTAGTTTGTGTTAAAACCTCACTAATTTTTTGACTCCAGCCTGTCTTGTCTACATCTTATCAGTCAGTCCTATCTATCAAAAGACTTTGGAGAAAATAAAGATGCTCACCGGCGTTGGAGATGCGTCTCCCTCTCTCCCAGTCCATCTGCTCTCTGTCCAGCTGCTCTTGGTGCTCCCTTTCTTGCTTCTCTCTCTCGGCACGCTCACTCTCCATCAGCTGCCGCTCGGCACGCTCCAGTTCCTGGCGTTCTCGCTCCAGCTGCTCCTGCTCTTGACGCTCACGCTCCAGGCGCTCCAGACGATCCTGCTCGTTACGTTCCCTCTCCAGCCGCTCACGCTCCTGACGTTCCCGTTCCTGACGTTCCCTTTCGGCACGTTCCCGTTCCAGCATCTCTCGTTCCTGCCGTTCCCGTTCTAGCCGCTCTCGCTCCAGTCGTTCCCTCTCTTGCTCCTTCTGATGCTGGAGCTCCTGCAGCTGCCTGAGGACACATGAGAGTAGAAGGGAATGTGCGAGTGCACAGTGAACCTACAACTTTTCAATTACCAGGTAAGACCTTTAACAAGTTTGCCACACCACCCCAGGATCAGATTCGGATTTGGTTTCAGTAGTTTTGGTACAATGTACAATACAATTTAAAAGTCTGGATCAATAATAATAATTATTATTATTATTATTTTAACATTTAACACAACATTTAGCATCAAATCAGCATATTAGACTGATTTCTGAAGGATCATGTGACACTGAAGACTGGAGTAATGGCTGCTGAAAATTCAGCTTTGTCACCACAGGAATGAATTACATTTTAAAATATATTAAAAACTGTTTAAATTGTAAGAATTTCACAATAGTTTTTACTGTATTTTTGATCAAATTAATGCAGTCTTGGCGAGCATAAGAGACTTATTTCAAAAACATTAAAAAACAATCTTACAGTCCCCAAACTTTTCAGTCTCTGCCCATTAAAATAAACAGGCTGTTGGGGGAATTAACAAGATGGCCTTAAAGGGCCTTTGGGACATATATTCAACAAGAAAGGCTTTTATAGATGACAAATAAAAATGACTTGACTTGCTTTCTTCCAGATACTGAGACAGATGAACACTGAAATACAAGCGGCACAGTACATCATATCATACACTAGAGGGAAGCACACTCAAATGGGTAACAAGAGGTGCGAGAAGTGCCAACTTCAGCATCCAGACCAGCTCGCCTGCAGATGTTCTGCTAAGTAAGGGTTTATGAAAGATTTGCTTGTCAGTCCTCTTGTGCATCCAGCACATCCTCATGCCCAGAATTCCAGTGTGTAGAGAGCCAGAGACATTTAGACTGTGGACAGCGGGGACAGTAAATTAAGAAAAATGGTCTGTTTGCAGTTCTGGCTCTGAAGCAGGACAGATGGACCTAACTCGAAGATGAGGGGCTGGACAAAGTGGAGAGCATTCATGAATGAAAGCAAAATGTAACGCAAAGTGCCTAACAATGAAAGAGTCATCGTGTAAGGTTCATCTTACAGGCTGTCCTTAACATGTTGTCTTTTTACAACATTTTACTTCAAATAAACGTTTACCAAAAATAATTCTCACAATCATGTTGTTTCCGACATGCTATAATAACACATAAAAATTGCTAATAAAATAAACAAATACTTAGATCAATTTTAATATTAAACAGATATAGATTCTATATTAGCCTACATTTTATTTATCGGGTTAGTAAGAAATAGTACAAAATACAAAGGGTTCCGAATCAAAATTATTTTGGGGTAACAATTAACAACAGTATAGGGCCATTTCTAATGGCAAGAGGGAAAGCTGTGGAAACGTGAGTAAATGATGAGACAATTTTCATTTTAGGAGGCAAACTATTCCTTTAGTTTGTGAAATCAGACAGCTGTCATGGGAAACTGGAGAGATGATAAACCACACATCAGAGTCTTGTCATCAAGGTTTGCATTAGAACAGGTGATCCTGCTCTTTCCATCTGGCTAATAACCTCCCACACGTCTTTTTGCATGAATGGGCATACATGATGTCATTTCCTGGGACCTTGCCAGACACACCTTCCACTCAGCATGAGTGTCATCACCATGACAAATACCAGCATAGGTGCAGTGACATCATGCCTCCACATGTTTCCAAAGAAGAGAACAAGATGGGAAAACCACACCTCAATCTAAGACCCCTTTAGAAGATCAAGTTTATGCCTAAGGCTCCAACGGATGCAGTCACACCTGAATCGATAGTCCCTCCTGCTGTCTCATCAGTTCAGTCACTGAAATTGACTTCAAATCTCAGACCAAAGCTACAAAGCATGTGCAACACAGTATCTCAACTACTGGGCCATTCACATTTATCCAAAACAAATACAAAATAAGATCAGTATCAAATATTTTACTTTTCAGTTAATATAATTCTGCATTTGAATATGTACATTTGATTAAATGCTGAACAATAATAGCCTCATCAACAAGCCTTGCCTTAAAAACATTACAAACCACTCCTACTCTAGCAACTGCTGTCATCTGCCTTATTATCGGACTTTACAGAATCGGAGTTTACAGAATGTACCCAAAAATATAGTAAAACACTGTCTAGGCACATAAAACAGTGACACAATGTGCTTTACTCTATTTTCTTTAATTAAATGTTGAGAAGTGCATCCTGTGGGTTAAACAATCTGTCAGTCTTCATTCTCAAATGAATACATGTAACATCAGAAAGAACACAGACTTTTGCTCAAAGGTAAATTCATATAAATGTAACGACTTATGATTTAGGTCACAGTAGAGGTTCTGTTCATTTACACTTATGTTGTCACTTGAAATCTTTTTCAAATGAGGCTCTCTCTTCAGTTGACTGATGAACATCGATTCTGATGGTGTGTTCAAGTCATGTCGGTAGTATCGTATTTATGAATCGAAGGCATATGAATGTGACTACATAGTTGTAATTTTGAGTGGGAAACTGAACTTAGTCTAGAGTTTCCGAGCTGGGAGCATGTTAGTAAGAAAATATGGCGGACACAACAGATGCAGCATTTATATTGCTGGCAAATTCATTAAAAAAAATGTTTTTCCATTTAATATGAAACTAAGTAAGGTGTGGCTTAACAAGGGTCGATTCTTGAACATCTGAAACGGATACAACAAATGCAGCTGGGTTGAGTCGAGGGGAATAAAACTATATGAAGATCTTCCAAAAGGAGCTTCCATATGCTTGGTCTACTGCCCGAGTTCTCTATATCTGCTTAATTTAGTTGCCTTGTTTCAGAGTTGTTCTTGTACCTGGGTTCCCAGAGGATGTATTCTGAGCCACTCCATTATGAAATGCTGTTGAGGCATGGATTGCTGAGAGCGTGTCCCACTTCCCCCAAAATCCCTGCTGAGCCAGAGCCAAGCTCTCAGAGATGTAATTAAAGAGCAGAGGAAGCCTTGTTTATATCTGTGATAATATACTACCCCAAAAGACCATAGCAGCCATACCGGAGCCATCCATAAGTCATCCCTGGATAGGGTTTTAGTACAAGCACCCTATAGAGATGAGCGCTTAAAAGAAATAGGGTCAAATGGATATGTGATATGAGAGGCCTATATTTAATTTCCATGACACATATGGGTTGGGCGAGGTTAACTTTTCATGATGCAATTGCCGTGCAATCCCAGTGATCCTACAGGGGTGGAGAGGTCATAATAATATCAAGGGCTTCTTGTTTTCAGAAGCTGCTGAAAATAAACCTAGAACAAACATCACTTTAAACCAAACTGGCATTTGACCAACAGGAAAAAGGATTTATGGGATCAAATGTGTGCGCTCCTTGTTTCTTAAATAAGAACAACACCTCAGACCTGTTCGCAAGTGCAGTTCGCACCATTTTGGTTGAGAGCTTTATTTGTGCGTAATCCTATCGGACACATACACATTCCCTGGCATAGGAGATCACAAAATTCTGAAATAACGAGCAGCACAAACACTTAAAATTAGAAGCGGGCCCTGCTCTCTCAGGCGAGAGACTGGAAGGGGCCAAAATATGGGGTTGATGGGTTCAGCAACCTGGGCTGCTACACTAAGAGCTTACTTTAGAAGGCCTTTTTTCATTTTCATATGTATCGCCTCTTTCTGACCATGTCAGGTAATAAGCAAGAACTCTAGCTCTTCAACATTCCAATGCATTTATGTAATAACCCCTTTCAACAAAACTCATGGTCACTTAAAAGGTACAGTTTTGTTCCACTGCAATGACAGTGAAGCATGACAGGAATTGTTCTCATATTTTGGAACACATTTTGGATACTTGTCAAAGGGTCATCCAAAAACAATATCAGTTTGGAATCTGCATTAGCAATTGTACTGCAGTCTAGAGCATTCTGAATATAGGAAAAACTACAAGCAATGCAAAATTTGCTTACTTTTCCCCTCTCAAACACCCCCTTCTTGAGCATGGAATAAGGGCTTAAAAGATGGGAAACATGCAGCAGATCCATTTATTGGCGTCTCCATTCCTGACATCAGTTACCAAGGAAACAGTAGCGAAGGGAGTGTAGGCGGTTCACAGCCTGATTCAGAATGTCTTCCAACAACTTACTACAACAGATTCTAAAAGCAGTATGACTTCACTGGAGTTTAAAAACATTGGTGATCATACGATAAAAAATACAGGAAATTAATATACAACATTTTTTTTTCGTTCTCAAAGCAAAACTAAAAATTCTTTATTGCATAGAAAAATATAATTACATGGGGACTAGTCAAGTCGTCACATTACCCTACTATAAAATACCCTATTAGGAATCCTATTCGTGGAGTATTTTGTCACCTATTTTGAGTATAAAGTAAAAACATGTATATTTATTATACACTTACAATCTACGAAAACACTTTTAATATCTTACGCAGAGTTGTTTTAAGTAAATTCTAAACTTCTTTTTAGGATTTAAAAAAATATTTTACTGGTCAAACAAAGTCAAGCAACACTAATTAAAACTCATTTACTTCTAACTCATTAAGAAGTAATGTATGTGAAGTTATGCATATCATTTACAACTTGAAGACACCAAAATGCTGAAGGAAGATTAGTGGTATAGAAGAAAATCATGAGTAGTCAAAAATATCACTACAAAACAGGGCAAATTACGGCAATGCTTGAAAAACTGAAAAAATTAATTATATGCAGAAAAAAGCCAACACTGACTAAAAAATTACAGACCATCGTGAAAAAGTGAGCAGAATGAGCACCATATTGAAGTCTTTTTGGCACATGCAATTCCCCTCTCTCCTGGAAAGGCCCGGCAATTTGGTTAACATCGGCTGTGTCCAAGCTAAGCCATATGGCATCTTTTGCAAGGCTTCCTACAAAATTTCAACAGATTTGGGCCCAGCTCACTGATTCCCCCTTACACAGAAGGAAGAACATCTTTGAAAAGAGAAGGCGGAAAGAGCTCAGAAAGCAGGATGTGGGCTTTCTGTAGCTGAAGGGTCATTCATGAAGAGATGACAGACATCCGGACGTGGCTGCCAATGCGATATGGGTGCATTATTGTGCTGAAGTGTGAAGAAGTGGCTATGATTATGACAATCAGCTTTAAATGATGCCGTAAGTCTACTAATGAGGTGGTGGCTCTTTTCTCGCCCTGCTAGCGGGGTACGGTTGGGGAAATGTTCTTTTGTGTCTCCACCTGACAGATGTGCCGAAAGCCGGCAGAGCAGCAAACTTGCATCAGCGTCCCACTGACTATTTTTATCCTCCCATTATACCACTTCATGTCTTTTTAATCAAATACTAATACAGTATATTTTTGGCTCACAGAGTCAACCCATATGCCACTGCGGTCCTGCTGGAATTGGAACGGCCTATAGAAAAAAATGAAAGCTAAAAAGTACAAACTATACTTTTAAACAAGTAATCCCCTGGAAACCGCAATCCTTGATGTCCTGGTGATGGGAGACATAGCCAAATATTTATTTTTCCCAGCATGAAAGTAATACAAATGTAGCATGTCTCAGTACAGGGAATGGCATGCAATTCAGACCTAAAGGGGTATAAATGCCCCACAAGATCATTTTTGAGGTCGTTCGAGAACTTTTTGTCATCATTTCATCATGAGGTTTACAGAAATGCTCAAGTCTCTAATTCAAAGCATGTGTGTACTAAAACTCTCCACAAAATTAAAAGACAAAAAGAATAGAATCGCAAAACAATCTAAGCCTCAAACATAGTGGTTCTTTTGCACAAACAAACAAAAATGGACACCGAATCATACTAAAAGAACTTAGATATGACAACACAGAGAACAGAGTGACAAATCCTATTGAAGTCTCAGTTCAAAAACTGCACTTTTCAGTCATTGCATCAATATAATTGTTACTACGAGTATTAGGAAATTATGCAACACCAATTTCCTCAAAGTCATGTGTTATTTTAAAGTTGTCTGCACTAATCAAACCTATATGCTATTAAGGCCCTGTCCACACGAACGCGGTTATTTTTAAAACCGCAGCTTTTTCTACACGGTTTGGCCATTCATCCACACGCAAACGCAGCACCAGGTCACTGAAACCGAACATTTTTGAAAACGCCTGCCAGGGTGAAGATTTTCAAAAACTCTGGTTGCAGTGTTATCGTTTAGACAGCGAAACCGGAGTTTTTAGCTTGTGACGTCGGAACCTGCGCTGTTATCTCCGCCTACTGGAAACTTTTTCAAGCTTCTGATTGGCCAACATGGCTTTACAGTTGAGATTATATCGCCACCTGTTGGTTTGGCATGCTCTTGACAGTGCTTCATAGCATGCATTTGCGTTTTCATGTGGACGGAGATTTTTTTAAAAGCGGAAGGAGGAAAAACTCTACCCATGTACGTGTGGACATGGCCTAAGATAAAGAGAACTTTGTGTTCAAAATAAAAGTCATGTTGTGCATAAAAGTTTTTTAAAGAATGAAGAAAAATGAAGAAAAATAAAGAAAAATGTCTTTTCAAGGTAACTGTTCAGAGAAAATCAGTTGGCGCACTTCGAAAATAACAATTTCCTCTTAGCACTTTCCATGCAAGCATGTGACCTTTATTTTTAAGTGACCTCTGAAACCCTTTGACAAATTTTATTCATGCCACCAGAGTCCTGTGGCCTGTCTGACAGCACGACTAATGCATCTTCTGACAGTATGCAGATGCCCTGATGGCTGTTTATATACTGATTCACTGTGAGAAACCTGCCTCTCATTCCTTTCTTCTGCTCTCCTTCTCAGCAGCATTGTATCAGGTTTGCATCACGAGATGACATCAGACACCAAGCATGCATTCAGCCTCATTGACTGCAATAGCTAAATATGGCTGTGGGCCGGCACCCCGCGACTGGCCGGGTGGGCGGCAGCAGGCCAACTCTATTACACGCACTCAAAGACATTCTTTCAGAGAATATGAGACCTTTTCTTTCTGGCTGATCTTCCACAGACAGGGGAAAATATCCTTATAAGGAACATTTCCACTATATGTACACTACAACACCTGAGTGATGAACACAAGATGTTAGAATGTATGAATGACTGTTTCAACTTCCTAAAAGGGATAGTTCACCCCAAAATAATTACTACTAACCCTCATGTTTCTTTTGAGTGAATTAAAAACAATATGCAACCAGTGGTGTCTGATTCCTAAATTTAATGACTTTTATGAGTTGGTTCTTTAATGATTAGTTAAAAAAGACGCTTTATTTTACAGTCCTCTTCTGCATGTACATACTATATACTTGTTATAGTAATTACAATAACTGGGTAATAACTATACTAACCATGAAACTACCCCTAAACTTAATCCTAACCCATTACCTTATATTATCCAGTACTTTCTTAGGTAAGTACACTGTAAACACAGGTAAGTGCACATACTGTAAAATAAAGTGTAAATCGAAATAAGAGTCTTGTGAAAAAAGTTGAGTTGTGAAAAAAGTACCATGGATGGATCAAAGAGATGGATCCAGTGTTATTTTTAACAAGAAATATTAAAAATTATCTCAATTAATTTAAATAAGGTTGAAAATAAAATATAAAGCCAAATCGAAATATTAAAAAAAAAATAATAATTACAATTTTAACTAAGATTAAGATATAAACTGTATAAATAGCTAACAAGCTATTATAAGTTAATTCAAAATATTAAAAAGATATACCATTTTATACAAATAATACTAAAACGGGGTGGGTCCCATCATTTATTGTCACAGTATGTTTAATAGCTTATTTTAATCTGACCCAACACTTTCTACATCCTCAAAATTCTGTGACGCAACATTATTTTTGAAAAATAGCCAGAAGGGAAGGCCAAAGCTATTAAGCTATGTCTCCACAGAATTTAACAATACGAAAGAAAGCACTGTCTGTCCCACACGATTTTAATAACCTCCAAAACCCCGCCTTGATGTGACATACACACGATTCTAAATCAGTATCGTGTCTGCAGTGTACTTAAGCTGTGCACCCCCCTCAGGCTCTTCACTATGCTGTGGAGCATGTCTGTCTGGAGTGAAAAAGCCAGCCAAACAATGTTTGTTACGCAGGACGCGCAGCGTTGTCCAATGCTGTCCTCGCCTGGCTCACATCACAGAGGGAATACACCAATGGTTAATGTTTAACAGGCTGCAGGGGCTCTGCAGATCAAGCCTGTTCAGATTTGACATTTCTTCTGTAGCAGAGAAGTAGGACATGACCACTGCTGAGTCACCATCAAAAGACTGAGATAATATTCAGTATTCTACAGAGCGCACCAGACTCCCTTGGGTTCATCTCATGGAATGATGCACCACTGATGAAGAAACACTCATGTGGCAGGCAAAGGCTAATAAATACCAATAAAGATGCAATAGTTGCATCAATGGTATTGTATTATTAAAGCAAAAAGCAGAAAGACAACTCTGACAAGTAGGCAGTGAGCATGTATATTCCAGTCAAGCAGCCTTGGCTGCTGCTTCCTTTGGGAACTCATTGCAGAAAAGCTTTTCATTAACAAGACCAGGGTGTGTAACAGCCTCTGTCGTCCTTTGAAGTCTACAGATATCTTGACAAAAACACGCTCATGAACATGTGAATTCAGGGCTTCAAAGTGGTGATTTAACTGAACTTAGTCCAGCAGACATTAACATTACATTGCTGCACTATCTGCGTTTGATTCTGCAGTGTGAGAGTTCACCTGGTTCATATTCTCACCATCACACACGCAGATGTCAACTCGTAATCTATGAGTGCACGTGTTCTTCCATGGGGTGGAAGGTGTTTTGTGGATAAGACAGATTTACTAAGTCATTTTCCCCACAAAAAATACATTTTACACCTAAAGAAATAATTTTGAGTAAATATCACTGCTCTAGGCTATTTGTTTGCTAGCTGATTCAAGCTACTACTACACATCAACCCCTGTTTGCACTGTTTCCTGCAGTCAGTGTCTGTAACTTTGGTTTTTACCTTCTCTGCACCTCCAGCTCCTCTGGTGATGGGCCATTCTGCACCTGAGGGGTCTGTCTTGGCATCGGGGGGCCTGTGGGGGGGGAAGAAAAAAAAAAGAGGAAAAATCTGGAATGAGCATCAATTTGAAACTTGGAAAGCACTAAAGACTTTGAAATCTGATCAATAATGTAAAGTGCGCTGGACAAGCCCCAAAAGAGTAATAGAAGTTGAGGTTTTAGAGAGAGAGAGAAACATGGGCCGCTGGCTGCAAGACACATCGATCAGGTGTGTTGGACAGCAAGAGTTAATTAGGACATTATATATCAGGGAAAGGGGAAAAGACTATCTGTAAAAGAAACCGTCAGCAGCAGTTCAAATCACTGTGCATAAAAAAATAAAAAAAGTCAGTGCCAGGGTGAATTACTTCACATATTTGTCACTTTATCTAAACAATACATAACTTTATTTAATTCTTGTCTGAAGGGCAAGACTTTGTTAGAAATGGAAGCATATGCATAACTGTAGAAATATACCAAGCATTAAAAATACATTTAGAATAAATAAATTATTTATATTGATATTAGTATATATTGTAAACTAAAATAAAATAAAAATAGAAATAGAAGGAAGGCTGACTGATGACCTCATGCTGGAAATATATTATGCAGATGGAAACCCAAGCCTTGATATCGTCTTATTTTACAGCACAGTTTGGGTATAGAGGCTTTGCTGATTTTGCCAGGCTGAATTTGAGAGCAAAGGAAGGTAGAGGTCTGAATGAAAGCTTAGCACGAACACAGGACAAGTCTCTGCCGTGACATGCTTTACTAATCAATCAATGCAGCATTGTGCAGGTGAGAGAGGTCTGTTTACAGAGTCTGGAGGTAAGGCCCTCTCTGGAGCTCATTACCAGACTACATGTGCCCTCTGCCATTTCCTGTTTATTTGCTTCACACAGCAGAGCATTGCAAAAACAAGAGCTTTTTTATCCTTACACCTGTTTCTTTCCTGCAGTTTCATCATTTTAGTGGGGGAAGGTAGTCTAAATAGCCACATAGACAAACTATTGACTACACATCAAAAGGTCTGGTCCACACTGCAGATTTGAGACCAACTGCCTGACAAAGGACCAATAGTTAAAAATGTTTCCAATGGATTTCTCTGAAATGGATTATGCCACAATAATAAAATCTAAGCAAGCTAAAATAACAAAACATAACATTTCACATAGCACATAACAAAAAAACAACATAAAACCTAAAACAAAACTAAAATAAAGCAACAAGCCCCGCGAAGCCGTGGTTTACAGTGAATTTATAACAGCTAAGGGGTTTATAAATCCACTGTAAACCACAGCTTCACGGGGCTTATTGCTTTTATAAAACGGTTATTCCATATACGTAGTAAGGTTTCACAAAATAAAACAGAGCAAATAAAGAGTAATGATATAAATAAAAACAGTATTCTTCCACCAAACAATGTAGTTCCTCAGAAACAGTTGTGGTTCCAACAAAGTAAACAAAGGTGTATGTTTGTCGTGTAATTTACAACAGCTTCGAACGCAGCTCAGCCAATCAGAATCAAGGACCGGAACTATCCGTTTTATAAACAATATTTTAAAAACATTACATTTAACATATAAAACAAAATAAAACAAAACACAACATTTAACAAAACATAAAACAACATCTGTCCTGGGTTAATAATAAAATAACATCTTTTTTACACAAGTCTGAATGCAGAATTCTCCCTGCAGCACAAGACTCCATGAAAAAATATGACATTAGAGCTGAGCCATCTGGACAAGCCGAGCAGTAATCAACTCATCTGTCAAATCTAATCTAACATTACAATTCTGTGCTCCCCTTTAAGAAAGCCAACTGTTTATTATTGTCCATGTTTGTGTAACCCACTCTACAAATTCCCTTCTTAAATGTTCTGTCTTTAACACATAAAATACACCTACGCTAGCCTTAATGTGTATGTAAAAGGCCCTGTTATATAAGCATTAAGCAAGCACCCGCAGTTTCTCTTACTGCCTTGAAACAGAAACAAACATTACTCTTAAAATGTGATGAGCTAATCACAAATTATCAAAGCTATTCATAAAAACAGATGATATCTAATGAGTAGAGATGGGTACCGAAACCCGGTATTTAACCGGTCCCGGGGCTAAATTATGAAAGACCGGAGTATCGATAAGCTCTGACGTTAACGGTTCTGCTATCGGTACTGGAAACATTTATAATTATTATTATTGCTATATATACATTATCTTGCTAATTTTTCAAACATTTGTCTATGATGCATTTTTGCTATTCGCAATTCAAAACCGAGATCACGCCCACGCGGAGGAGCTTCAGCACGCGCAACATGAAAGCCCCGTTTAATTATGATAGAAGAGAGAACTAAACATTCAAACATCTGCTAACACTTTAGGCCTGTGGCGGTTTAATTAAGATAATTTTATTTTTTTATTTCGATTTTGGCTTCTAAGGATTATACAAAATAAGACATGAGGTAAAGCTATTAAAAACTAGCTGCGTTTCGTATTGCGCAATTTCTTTCCCTTCATAGCGGTGCACATTCGTTCCTGCCTAAAACCCAAACTTAACGTCAGAATCAGATCAATCGGTGATTGTTGTAAGATGCCGTCTTTACTGTTGCTAAATTGCAGGACATGTTTGATAAAACGTTGAAAGTACAATCCGCACAAGAGACGCTGTTCCTCAGGCTGAAATGTGTGCGAGCGGCACGCTCCAAAACGGACAAACAAATTACACTTTGAGCTTCGGGCGCATGTTCAAACGATCAAATACACACAAAATGTCAAATTTGTCCGGCTTGGAGAGTATTTACTTAAACACAGTTTATGTCTTAAGTGGAGGAGAACAGTTGGGAGAAAATCCGATGTGTGTCAATATATTGTCTTAAAGTGACAGACTGGCGCTTGGGCCATCAAAATGCAAATCTGCTCTTAATCTGAATAACGTTATAGCTTTAATAAGCATTAATCTATCAATACATACACTGAAAAATATGCAGTGTTCATTTACATTTGATTACTTTTAGATTTCTTTTTGTAGGCTATTACTTACCTGAACAGTAATGTTAGTAGAACTTCATGGGAAAATTACAGCACTGTTTATTTCATTTCATTTGTATATTTGTTTTATTGTATTTGCCAGTTTGTTTTACTTTGTTCATGCACTTACTGTATCTTATCTTATGTATAAAACACTAAAAATGCCTGCACACTGGTGCATTTACAAATTGATGTTTTATATTCATTTCATTAAATATTTATTTTACATTTTAGAATATAAAGCAATGTTAATTCAGCTCTTAATTTGTCATATATATATATATATAGAAAACAAAAAGTACCGATAAGAATACCGTTAAAGTACCGAATCCATAAGCAGTATCGGTAAGAGTAGTAATACCGTTAAAACCTTAATGATACCATCCCTACTAATGAGTCAGTGGATATAGCCTCTTCAGAGACCAAAGTCAAGTTGGGCAAACATTAACTTTTTGTTTGTTATTATTTGTTATTATGGCCACATTATAAAGATTTTTGAGTGCAATTTGAAACTCTGACACAAAGGCAAGTATACTTGCCCCATTTAACCCGGCCAATCTGAACAGCACTTTAAAGGCTGGCTCTGGTCCAAAGGCACTCAGTGTCAGCTTTAATATGGACTGATCCTCCAAGCCAGTTTGGTAATGTACTGCCATTAGATCACACACAGATAGCATAACCTAAAATGGACTTCTTATTCCAGAAGCAAGCACAAATAAAATAATAAATCATAATATAATATGAATTATTAAAATAAAATACAAATAATAAACATGGTGCATCATTAGAAATCATCATTCGCATCTTATATTAGTTTAATATGTATTAATGATAAAAATAATAATTAAAAATAAAATAAACAGTGCATTATTAGATGCATAACTTGTTTCTTAGTGTACTTGCACCACCTTAGCTAGCCGAATTTACACAAAAATGAGTAATTACTCAAACAACACTGCTTATATGTTAATTAGAAAATGTCAAATAAAATAAAATCAGACAGTGAAACTGGAGATCACACTCAACTATCAGCTCAGTTTAAGTTTCTACTTATTAATAGTTTACAGACCAACAGAAAGATAGAGTCAGAATAGCACCTACATGAGAGGAGGAGCGAACCACCAAGCCTCTTCTGACAGCAGATGTACTGTAGAAGTCCATCCTGGTCTTTAGGTGCACTAGTAACAAGTGCGCTAGAGCCGTTCGCATCAGCTCCCAAACTGCCATCAATGACTCCGTGAGATCTCAGAGAAAGCAGCATGCTGTTGTGGCTATTCTCAAGCAAACACTGCTGTGGTAAGACAAGACCAGACCAATAGGCTGGCAGGTAGACGTTAGACGCTCTTTCACAACGCTCACCGAGCAGGATGTGGTCCAGTTATTGCACTTTCCGGACCTGATCAATTATTCATGCCTGGATGGGCGAAGGGTAAAGCGGTCAATGTTACAATCGCATAACAACTATTACGATCAGGTGGGTGGAGAAAAACATGGCTGTTTTTGCGGGTTTAACCCTTTCAAGACAAAAACAGCGAGATAGAGCTGAGACTCTGAAATCTGGCGAGCTACTACGAAGGGTGAATTTTCGATGTAAATGTAGAAAAATGTAGAACAAATATATTTTCTTCAGGGAGGATCAAGGAAGTCTCTCTAAGCACTGACATGGAGAAACAAAGCTTGTCTTGGCCACAGGAAATCAAGTTATCGTATGATGTCACCAACAACTAATAGCCATGAATACACCGGACAGCTTTAATTTCACAGAGCTGAATCATCTTTCACCCCATCAAATTCACACCATACTTTAGGACTACAAAAAAAGCACAATTGTAACAAGTGCGCTAGAGCCGTTCGCATCAGCTCCCAAACTGCCATCAATGACTCCGTGAGATCTCAGAGAAAGCAGCATGTTGTTGTGGCTATTCTCAAGCAAACACTGCTGTGGTAAGACAAGACCAGACCAATAGGCTGGCAGGTAGACGTTAGACGCTCTTTCACAACGCTCA